AACCTCCAACTCCTGGGCTCAAGCAAGTCTCCTGCCTCAGCCTCCCAAGTAGCTGGGACTACAGGCACCCACCACAACGCCTGGCTATTTTTTTGGTTGCAGCCATCATTGTTGTTTGGCGGGCGCAGGCTGGATTTGAACCCACCACCTTAGGTGTATGTGGCTGGCACCTTAGCCACTTGAGCCACAGGCGCCAAGCCTCAAAATCGGGACTTTTTAAAAACGCTGCAGGACACAGGACAAATTGAGCCATGAACAATAGAAACTTGTAACAATAATTTTAAAATTATCATCTAAAATCATTCACTCATTATACAGAGTATCAGCCACGCAGAAATTTTCATAGTGTAATAATTTATTAATGGATATGCAATATTTCTCCAAAAGTCTTTCCAGAAATTACAAGGCAGAAAGTAAACACTTCTTTTTTGCTTCTCTGGAAATTTTTTTAAATGTAAACATGAAATATTTGAAGAAATGATTTTTAAAAAGTAAAAAATGAATCTGTAAATACATTCTTAAAACTCTGATTTCAAATAGTAGGTATATGGGGCTAGACATACAGATGTGGCATTTTGATAACTGGCTTAAATATCTAAATATAAATCAAAAAATATTTCCATAACTTCAACTATAAAAACACAAGTTCAGTAAGTACTTCACACCTAGGGAGAACAATTTTATTTGTATTTATTTTTTTATTTTTTTGAGACAGAGTCTCAGGCTGTCACCCCGGGTAGAGTGCCGTGGCATCACAGCTCACAGCAAACTCAACTCGTGGGCTTAAGCAATTCTCTTGCCTCAGCCTCCCAAGTAGCAGGGACTACAGGTGTCGGCCACAATGCCCAGCTATTTTTGGTTGCAGTTGTCATTGTTGTTTAGCAGATCTGGGCCGGGTTTGAACCCACTATCCTAGGTGTATGTGGCCGGCGCCCTTGCCGACTGAGCTACAGGTGCCGCCCAGAACAATTTTAAAAAACACAATGAGGAGTATTAGGAAGTGAGGACTAATAAGATTGAACTTGAAGTGGGACACAAAAGCAGACATGATCATGCAAGTAAACAAAAGTATCAATATAAGCGCGATCTTTAAACACTTAAATATTCTTCAAGACAAGTTATACCTTCAGCTTAATCACAAAACAGTGAGCCACACACCACCAACAGGCTATTTAAAGACCAAAATATATATATATGTACAGTAGAACCACTGTAAGTTGACCATACAAGGGATTGCAACAAACCGGTCAACATACAGAGGTGGTCAACATAAGAGGCCTACTGCACTGATACACACATGGTGTGTGTTGGCCTATGAAAATTAAGCCAACTGTAAGGAGGTGGTCAACTGTGGAGGTTCTATTTGTGTGTGTGTGTGTCAGAGTCAGAATACTCCTGTAGTAATTCTGAGTACAGAGTGATGACCAGCAAGTAATAAAATGCGAAATACAGACTGGAACTAAGCTAAGCAGCTGGATGTGTAAGTTATGAACAAGTGAAATTCATAACAGTATTGAATAAGGAAGGCAGTTTCTAAACTGCCCAATATTACCCACACTAATTGTTTGGAATCAAGCACAGCTACTTTAGTTTCAAACCAAACAATGTTAAAATATAGTCATATGCCTATACAATTACACATAGGAGTAACACAAATTAACTATTTGGGGGGTATCCTTCACCTATTCACTTGAAATTCTGACTAGTCGCTACGTTAATAGATGACCATTCTTTAGTTCATACATATTATGAACTAAAAATAAAGCATACTATCATACTAAAAACAGTATTGAGCAATAAAAACATTATTTTCGATCCCTACAAACTATGGGAATTAACTTTTAAAGTTTAGCAGGATAGTAGGTACTTAACAAGAACATTTAAGTGATCTGTACAATAGTTTACATTTGTGAGAATTACTTAATGTCTAGGAATAATTTCCTTGAGTTTAGAGAGTACTAAATCTTGGTTCATCACCACTGTAAATTCAGACTTTATTAATGTAAACAGGGAAACATAAATCTTATATTTAGTGAACAAAGAAGATGCCATTGTCTTGACAATGCAGTAGTGAATTATGTACTATCCTGGGTGATGGGACAGGTAGAAACTGGAAGTAAATAAACATGGCTTTTTAAAGGGTATTAGGTGCATTTCAACTTTATCGATCAATATAATCAGAAGGCACTTGAAAGGATTTATGCGGGGCTTTCCAACCAATGTTTACTATGATGATGGCAAACTTTGTAAACAACTGTACAAAGATGGTTCTAACATGAAACTTCCTATTTTTTTCAAAAGGCAATATTTAGTATATAAAACAGTGTAAATTAAGATGTTAATATATTAAACAATTTATAAACATTTAAAATTACAGATATCTTACAAAACAGCTCTATGATAAAAATTATTCCTGCAAACAAGAAGTAAACAAACATAGTACAAAAAGTCTTTTATTTAGCATATATTAGCTGGGAGAAGGGGAGGAACGTAAGTCTTGGACCTGAAATCTAATAGTTTCGTAACATAAAGTATTCCTCATTAAATTTTAAATACATTTTTAACACTGAAATATTTTAAAAATTGAAATTTTCAATAATTCCTTATTTCTCAAGGCCCTGGAAACAAGTTTCACATCGTTAAAGTTTTGTAGTGTGTTATTTAGAGTCTAGGACATTTAAGTTCACTATCAAATCCATTCTGTTCACAGTGTTTTCACCGGACAAGACATTCTATTGTGCTTTCTCCTTGGATTCATTAATTAAAAAGTCAGCACCTAGCGCCAAGCCACAGAGTCTAAGATTTATTCACGAAGCGACAGGATGTTGATTTTGTTGCAGGTGTGGTCTGTGTCTCCAAGGATAAATAGCTCTTGGGATATGGTTGCTATGACAATGTTGTTGCCAGGATAATTCCAAGGATCACGAGCAATATAATTACACAAATAATAATGAATATCATTTTCTGCAAGATTAAAAAAATATTAATTTGCAATGTATAGAAATCAACAATGTCATCTGCTAACAAAATCTCTCTGGAATTTAAGATTCTTTAAAATAAAAGTCCATTATAAAGAAAGAACCTCTGAAGGTCATAGAAAAGGAAAGGGAATAGAAAACTCCAAAGGCAAAGGTTAAGTTCTAGATGCATGTATAATAAATTAAATTACTTTAACAAATTATGTGTCATTAAAACAACAATTTGCTCCTGGAAGGAAAAGGTACCATGTGAGCTCATACTAAGCACTTTCCTTGATCATAATAAAATTCCAGAACTGCTCTTAATTGGATGCATTATCTTTTTAAAACTTTAAGTGAAACTATTTCTCATTGGCTAAAAAAATCCTATCTATCCATTTTCTTACATTTAAGCATGATGAACATATGTAAGAAACCAACAAGACATTAGCTCAGTCTTTTGTTCCATTTACAGCCTAGAAGCAAAGCACGATATAGCATTAATTTTTTTTTTTAATTAACAAGCATCCTCACACAATTGAAAGTTAGATCTTTGGTTTAAGAAATCGAGTCTCCATTTAAGTTCACAACTCCAGGTCAGTTGTCTGAGGCAAAAGAGAAGAAAGATACAAAAATAGGTCAGGCATGGAGGCTTACTTCTGTAATCTTAGCACTCTGGAAGGCGAGGCAGGTGGATTGCTTGAGCTAGGAGTTGAGATCAGCCTGAGCCAGAGTGAGACCTCATCTCTAAAAATCTAGCCGGGTGTTGTGGCGAGCACCTGTAGGCCCAGCTACTCAGGAGGCTGAGGCAAGAGGATCACTTGAGCCCAAGAGTCTGAGGTTTCTGTGAGCTAAGATGCCACAGCACTCTAACCAGGGTGAAAAGTGAGACTGTCTCAAAAAAAAAAAAAAAAAAAAAAAGACACAAAAATGAAAGGGATATCACACTGCTGTTCTCTTTTTAAGAGAGCAAAGACTCACCATTTTACATTAGTTATGAAATGTATGCTACATTTTCATCTAAGAAATCCTATGTGCTGAGCCAGAATGAGCAGGCTGAGAGCTCAACTGACTATATCACAACGTGGAGAGTGGAAAGAGGAGCAAGGCCAGGCCCCACAGTGAACTCAGGGACTGTTCTGGAACCTGGCAGCTGCTTTTGGGAACCCCTGCTCCTTCGAGTCCTACACTCCCGACCACTCCCTGGAAAGCCACAACCTTCTACTATCTCCTTCCATGTTTACTATAAACCTTTCTTAGCACCTTTCTAGGGGAATGTCTTTTCCTTTGGCCTGTAATACCTCCCAGGATGCCAACAGGTGCCCTCACTCTTCTTGGAGTCCCCTCAGAGAACTGCCTGGCCTAGATGTGTGCTCTGGTTTCTGCCAAGCAGCTGGCTGCTTCATTGTGTGCTCTCCAGCCACCTCTGGCTTTCAGATGGTCACTGACTGACTACAAGGCATTTGGGGTGCAGGGATCAGGTGGCATCTAATCTTCTGGTGACAGCTCTAACCAAAGCTTGGTCTTCTCCCTAGTGATGGAGAGAGTACAGGCTGGGAGTCAAGCCAGTTTGGAGCTGAAGTCATGGTTCTATCACCGATGTCTAGAAATCTCTGCCTGTCTCCTCACATAAAACAGGGCATCCCTCCACGTGATAGGGATTAGGGTTACCTCTGTAAAATAACCATGCATCCTGCCCATCCTGCAGGGCAGGCAGGGGGATACAGGGCCCAACCTATAAGAAGGCAATTTGCTAAAGGGTAGAAAAACAAATTTAAGGCTTTTTATTATTAAATCATAACTGTGTACCATAATGCATTTATGGGGTACAAGGTGCTAATTTGATATACAATGTGGAAAGCTTACATCAAACTTGTTAACATAACCATCACCTCACTTATTTGTTGTGGTAAGACATTTATTTATTTTTTTTTTGAGACGGAGCCTCAAGCTATCCCCCTGGGTAGAGTGCCATGGCATCACGCTCACAGCAACCTCCAACTCCTGGGCT